GTCGACCGGGTCCCGGGTCGACCCGCCGGGCCGGTCCGGGTCACAAAACACTGATTTCTATTGCCGAAAAATACCAAATTTATGAGCACATTTGTTGCACTTAAACTGTCCATGAACCTCCTCCATTTTGCTTGTGCATCTTCTGCATGAGTGGTACCACCACTCATGTATAATTAAGTCCACTGTAGCACATACCCAAATCTCGGTTTCCCTGCATTTATAAATGTATGATTTCAGCCATGTTTTTCATCAAATAGAAGTGGCACATAAGTATTTGTATTTAAATTTACCTCAGTAGTATCATAGAGTGAGTTAACAGAACTCACAACAACATCACCATCGGCTACTTCTTGAAGTTCAGATTTCACAATTACAGAGCTCCGTGAAATTAAGCGGGCCCTTCTAAGTGGGCCTACGGCAGCTCTGTATAAGATATAAAAGTTTAATTTTTTAATTATCTATTATTATATATATAATTATTGAATATTAAAATAATTCAAATTAGTTTTACCTATTGCGAAATTCTACAATGTCTGGAATATTTTCTCTAGCAATTAGCCTCGTTATATCCTTTGATGAGGTTACTTGCACTTTGTCGGTTTGTGAAGAAATAATATAATTTAAACTTTATTGGATAAATTAATTATATAAATTGAAGACATTAAATTTTATATATCTGTCCATGATCTTGAACGCCCTAATTGAATTATCAAAGTCCATGGATTGCCATTGTGGGCAAGTTCACTCTCAAAGTTCAGGAATTGGTCAACATATGTCCCCCATAGAGTGCAGGGCACAACATTTCCCCTTATTGCAAATTTAAACAAAAAAACTTATTATCATAAATAAGAAAGTATCTATTACATTACATTATTATACATGAATAATAATATGTGGATGTAAGTTTTAATATTACTCTGGATCCATTAGTGAGAATGCTATCATGCGAGTTTGTACTCCTTTGACGTTCTTTATTTGAATTGGATGTATCTCGACCACCATCCCAATGACATCTAAACATGTGTTAAATATGAGTAAAAATATTATTGACCGTCATTTTTATAATGAAAATTCTATAAATAATAATATAAAAATGAAACGGGTAATTACCAAATAGCATTGATTCGTCGATCTTCTCAACATCAGTTAGTGTGGTGAACCTCTAAAGTCGAAACGGAAAACTGAAAAGTCACCCTTGTAGCTTATGTGTTCAGTTCTACCATGAATTATTAGTCTGTATTGTGAAATGGTGGATCTATACATTCCAATATTACTCTCAACCTCGTAGTTTCGAAATGCATAGATAACACCTTCTTCGAACTCATTGATGTACCTTGGTATGTTTTCCGCTCTTATTATTTCCTGATATTCGACCACCCTGTAAAATAAAAAGATAATATTAGAAATTATGGTGTAATATGAGAATGAAGAATTAACTATTAACTTTGATTGTGAATTATACTTCAATGTCATGAAAGGCAATTTCAAAGATGTTCTTGTAGGATGAGTATTCATTAGTCCTTTGAAAAATTCGGACCACTCTTGACTTCAGCATAGGCCTGTTGGTCCTGGTTATTTGCTTGATGTTTCCCCATACTTTTGCCATTTTTCTGGTAGTATGTGAAATGCGAGTGTATACGTTTGGACGTTCATTTTATAGGCATGTGGTAATAATTGATAATCATTAGATTAATTTAAAATATGAGTTTGAATAAATTCAAAATATGATGTGATGATAAGATAAGTCCAAATTAATTGAACAATTAATTAATTGGTTTAGTTGTTTAGATTTCTTTCCATGAAGAAAGATTCACTGAGTAAGAGTAGTAAGAGTAATCTGCACGTCTCCTCGTTAAACGAAATTATGTTGGATAGTAAATTAATTTGTGTACGTGAGATTAATTTAAAATAAATTTGTTAAATTCAAACTGTGAGATTAATTTGTATAATTAAATTGTGTACGTGAGATTAAAATGAATATAAATGAACATTAATTTGCGTACGGGAGATTGAAATGAATATAAATGAGATAAATTTAAAATATGAGTTTGATAAATTCAAACTGTGATGTGATGATAAGATAAGTCCAAATTATTTGGATAGTAAATTAATTTGTTAAGCAGTTGAGATACTTTCGTATACAAAGGTAACCAAATAATGAAATGACTGAATTTTAGTTAGTATAGCATCCGGCTAAATGTAAATATATTAGTTAATGTTAAATATTAAAGACGCTAATATTATTTATTATGGTTTTAAAATATTATTTGATTTAATTCAAATTGTGATTTGATGATAAGTCAACATGAATTGAACAATTAATAGTTAGTATGGCATCAGACTAATATATTAGTTAATAGTTATTATAGCATCAGACTTATTATCAAATTGTAAATTGATGATAAGATAATAATTGATAATCATGTGATTAATATAAAATATGAGTTTGATTAAATTCAAATTGTTATTTGATGGTAAGATAAGTCAAGCTAAATTGAATAATTAATTAAAGTTGTCCATTCGTAACTTATTTGTCTAGAAGTTTGATTAACTTATTTGTCCTCTGTAACTGATTAATTATTTGTTAAAAAGAAATTAACTATTTTTTGTTGAATGGAAATAAATGAGCGTACCAATTGGTGAAACAGATTTCAAAAGTTTGGAAGCCATGTATTTTGGTTTTATTTTATGGTTGTTACTCATTGTTTTAAAAAGTCTACATATAGTAAGTCAATTGTTTTATTTACTAGGTCAAACTTTCTAAAAATGATTTAAACAACAATCTTTTTATATATAGATAGATGTGAAAACTAAAAATTTAATTGATATTAGTATTAAAGAACAAACTAAAATTAATTTCTATTAAAAATAGCAAAAATTTTGTTTGTGGAAATTAATTATTTTTCTTGTCTAATTTTACTCATTTTTATTATTATTAAAAAGAGTAATTAATAAAAATTATAAAATGTAATATTATTTAATCTAAAGTAATGAATGGAGTTTTATACGTTAATTAAAATATGAAAACGAGGTATTTTCGAATAAGAACGAACTTCAACAAATATTGCTCGTTAAAGAAAGAAGTAAAACAAGATTGTTTGGTTTTTAAAAAAAAAATACTTGACAGCCCAAAAAAAAAAAAAAAAAAAAACTAAAGCAATTATTTTAAAACAGAAAGAGTTGCAATTGTTGTCGAAAAAAATAATTGAATGCGTAAAACTTTATTTGAAATAAGAATGAGTTGCAACTTTTAATTTTATTAATACTTTTAAAATATGAAATTATAATATTAAAATTTCCATGACTACATATTTTTCTTTTTTCAAATGCATAATATTTTTTTTATATTCTAATTACACTTTTAATAATTTGAAAGATAAAACTTTATTTTTTCTCTTGCTTCCTTAATTTTTATATTATTTATTTATTTGCAAAATAAATTTTTGGACAACATGTGTTGTCACTTCAAAATAAAAAGTTGCACTATCTAGAAGTGTCTGCCTTTCATGCATTTATCTTATCATGAGATTCCATGATTTTAAACTGTCAATATTGCAAATTTTAGTGTTATATTATTGCATCTATCTTATTATGATAGCATATTATCTTCAATTGTCCACATGTATTTGAATTCCCGGCTATAAAACCATGGGTAGCTTTGTGAAAGTATAAAACATACATCTTTATTATAATGTAAAAGTAGTAATGGATAGAAACCCAATTTTATCAAATTCTAGTATGACTAAGTCTTCCGAGGACGATAGTCCGTCTTCAACAAATTCTCGTTATTGTAGGAATATACCTCCCGTTATTTTGCCACTTTACTGCAATGTAATTGCAAACCTAATTTCAAAATTTTCTATATCCAACAAATTCCTTCATTTCCTATATCCCAAACTATAAAAAATCATGTCTACCCTCAACAACAAAATGCGATAAACGTGAATCAATCTCAGTATATGTGGCCAGTGACATGCCTTTTCAACATGATAATTTAATACCAACAACTATAAGTAATGAGATGGGACAAACACAAACACTCCCAAATACAGTTTCAAAACAACAAACACTTCAAAAGAGATGTTAATGTCTAACACTTCCAACACTTCCACAGTACAGCAAACACTTCCAACACTTACAACCCAAAAGCACTTACAACACAACCTAATCAGACCAAAAGCACTTCTAAAACATCAAACACAACAAACACATCAGACCATGTTGTCACTGCTTCTTTTTCTTTCTTTTCTGCACACAAACTGAATTTTGAGAAAGGTCCATGAACTTTTGGCCACCATCAATAACAATGGACTTTGAGTTGGTTGGTTGTGAACTGAATACTGGCAGTGTATATCCACCTATTATTGGTGGGGGTGCTCTATGTTGATCCTTGTTTGAAGGGGGTTTGGGGCTGAAACTGAGGACATCTTCAACTGTTGAAATGGAGTTGGGCCTGGCTTATGGGGCTGCATGTGCTGATACATTGTGCTATCAGTCTGGCTTTCAATGGCTGCAACCAAATCTTCATCAGAAATTTGACTAAACATCACATCATCTGGATTGGGAGGTAGGACTGTAGGATTTGCATTTGTATGAGTTTGATTCCCACTTCTTTTTCCTTTGGTGACCTACATAAACACATTTAAAAGTGCACATTGTATAAATGCAAGTACAAACTAAAAAGAAAATGGAGAGATTAGATTACCTTTAGTTTCTCCCTAAATTGAGGTTGTGGATTACCAAATGGTGCTTCATTGGAATGGGTTTGACCTTCAGTTTGTTTTCCCTTCTTACCCTGTATATACACATGATAACAGTGTTATATAGACAAACACCTAACAAACATATAATATTAAAAATAATGAAAACATTAACTTACCTTTTTCATAGCTGGATTTTTACAAGTCAATGCATTATGACCTGGTTCATGGCACTTCCTACATTTCACTGTGCTTTGTTTCCTCTTCAGTCTGTGGGGACCACTTGATGATTTATTTCTTTTAGGGTCTGCCTCATCAGGTTCTTTCCTTCTAAGAGAACTTGGTCTGCCTCTGCCTCTACCAAAATTTGGTGGCAAAGGAGGGATGTACATACTTTTCCCCCATAAACATTCACCACTCAAAGGCATTATGGCTGGTCCATAAACCTTTTTGTAAACCTCAACTGAGTAGCAATGGTCTACATAGTCCACTGGATCCCTTTTTTGGTGGAGAATGGCTCTCAGGGCATGTGGACATGGTATACCACTCAATCCCCATGCTCTACAACTGCATTTCATCTTGCCAAGAGCTACAGAATACTGATCTCCACCAGAACATGTGATTTGGTAGTTTTTGTCATCTTCCTTTATGGGGATGCAGTCAGACACCATCTCCAAATGCTTCTCGTAAATCTTTTGAATTTTGGGGCACAACCTGTCTTGCCACTTTGCAGCTGCCTTGTCCCTGTTTTGTTGTAACCTCCTCATCAAATACTCTCTTATCCATTCTAGCATAGTGATTATAGGTTTCTCTCTTGCATCTAAAATGTTTGAATTGAAAGACTCACAAACATTGTTAAGCACCATATCACATTTAAGAAATTCACAGAAATGTGACTTAGACCACTCAGAGGGTGGTTTATCATGAAACCATTCCCAGGCAGCTGGACTTAATTCTTTCATTTCCATCATCCTCAATTTGAATTCCCCTTCTGTTGTTGCCTGAGCTGCCTCCATAGGGCAGTCTTAAAACTAAGACCCCTGAAACTAGCATTTTTGAAATTGCTGTGGAGGTGTCTAACACAGAATCTATGGGGGCTGGATGGAAAAACTTCTTTAAAAGCTTGAATAAGGCCCTTCTGTTTGTCACTCATGAATGTCATCTCCTCTTCTTTTTCAATCTCAAGGTCTGACCTTAGTACAGTTAGAAACCATGACCAAGTCTCCCTTGTTTCCCCTCTCACTATGGCATATGCTATGGGCTAAAGATTGTTGTTGGGGTCAACTCCTACTGCAGTTAACAAAATACCCCCATGAGGACCCTTCAGGTGATAACCATCTACCCCAATTATAGGCCTGCAACCCCCTTTGAAACCTTCTTTCAAAGCAGCAAAACAACAATAGAATTTGCTAAACCTAAGTTCTCCATTTTCAGACTCAGTGTCTAAGATCACTGTGCTTTCAGGGTTTGTTTGCCTAACCTCTTCTGCATAATCCCATAGCTTAGTGTATTGCACAGATGGATCACCCTCTATCACCGCAAGTGCTCTCTTCTTTGCCCTGTATGCCTGTTGTTTAAAGACATCTACCCCCAGTTTTTTTATCACCTCTGCCCTCCACCCTTTTGTGCTTCTCTTTGGATCAACCTCAAAATTCCCAATGTACTTTTCACTAAGCCATTTACTTTTCACATTCTTCACATTAAATTCAGGAGGACAAGTATGGGTAGGTACATAGGTTGAAAGCTTGTAAGATGCTTCATCTGGTTTCTTCAGTGCATTCATTCTTCACTTGCATCCCTCAGCTTTAATTTACACTGTGCATACACTCTTCTGCTGTCATTTTTTGTAAAGTGTATGCTTCTTTTACTTCTAATAGCATGAGATTGTACTGCCTTTTTGAATTCTACTTTAGTAGCAAACACCATGCCTAACTCAAATGTTGGTTTAAAAATCATGGCAGGGTTGAACACAGGATCATTAGACTCACATTCATCATCAGACACTCTTCTCTCATCAAAATGAAGCACTTCATGGACTACATCATCATCCTCAGAAACACTATCTGCAGCATCTATATTACTCACATCTACACTTCCTTTTTGCACATGAATATTACTCTCAGACACATCAACATTACTACCATGGAGCACATCATCAACATTACTCACATCTACATTACTCTCATCAACATATTCTGACCATATTTCATCATCTTCACTAACTTCATTACTCATGTTATAGTCAGAATCATGTAATGAATTAGAGTCAGACTCACAGTCACTAACCCCCACAAATTTCCTAACTGTTTTGTAGGCATCCTCAACTGGTACCCACACACTGCCTAAGTTTTTATTTTGTGGATTAAGATTGGGTACAACAGGAGTTTCAACTTCCACATCAACATATATAATCAACTCTCTGCTTTTAACAGCTTGAAGTGCACAAGTTTGCAGGTCATCTTCACTAGCCAATAACTTAAACCCGTCTTCATCATAAATGTAATACCTCTTACCCCCAACAACACCTGCCTGTTCACACCACTTATTGAAAAATACAAACTTCATTTCACCTTGGGAAGTATAATCACATATAAACCTCTGGCCCCCTTCATATTTCGCTATAGGAGCATTAATAAACGTCCCACCCCAATGCACAACTAAAGAGAAACTATCTGAATTAGGATCTGAAATATTATAAACAAAACACAAAAAAAAAATAAAAATGAGTAAGTACAAACAGACACAACAATAAAGAAATAAACATGTTTAAACTTTCACAAACATGTGACCATTAAATATATTTCATTCAAACACAACATGACAAAAACACCACACCCCATTTACTTCCAAATACAGACCATATCACATGCCAAGATTCGATTTTACTATAAAACAGTAAAAGAAAAGAAAAAACTCACGATACGTCTGAGGAGGCAAATTTATGTGCATTTCTGGTCTCATGAAACCCATTTCTGAAAGCCTTCAACAGGTCCTTCTTCAATGGATTGTTACCGTGTATTATCTTCTTTGCCAGATTTTCAGTGTGTGCAAAATTAAGAGATGAATTCGGGAACTAGGGTTCTATTGTTCACGCGAGAAGAAAAAATGAAATGAGCGATCGATTCAATTTTGGGACATTTCCCCAAATTTTATTGTGTTTTCCGCCCCTCTGTGCCTCGTCATCTGCCACGGTGGATTTAGTGGCCATGTCATCGGCTACGCCATTAATTGATCGGCCAGGTGTGATATTTTGAAGACACGTCGGCAGCTCTGGGCCGGAAAAGGCATCTGGGCCCACAATTGTCCTGCTTTTGATCGATTTTAAATAGTTAGCGGACAAGTTTTGGGAAACACCATTCCATTGGGACCAAAAGTGGAAAACCCGATAGTTGTGGGACTAATTTTGAAATTTTCCCTAGCATGCACAGTCCAGAAGAAGAGCAATAATTACTCATCCAGAAATGCGTGTGAATACGGTAGGTTTTCTGTCTGGTAGTTCTGAAGATAATCCAATTACGGACAAGCGAGAAATGTGAACATAGCAACTCTAATTTTATAATTTAATTTGGTAATGAATAATAATTTGCGTTGGGACCAGGGCCGGCTCTTGGGCCAGTCAAGCAAGGCAATTACCTAGGGCCTCATATATAGATATTTCCTTTTATACATTATAAATTTTTGTTGAGCTTTACCCAATCTATTAACATAATTTTAAATGGTTGTGCTCTTTACCAAATCGCATCTGACAAAGTTAAACCCCAAAACTCACCTTCTGCCTTGCTCGACGACCAAACTCGGCACACCTTCGTCGTTCGCCTTCACCACAGCCGCGAGCCAGCCGCCTCATGCGTTGCCATCTCTGTTGAGCTTCTCAATCAACATTTCGGTGGGAACTTCTTCTTCTATTTTCTAAATGTTTTCTATGTATGTTGAATTTGATTCTCGATTATATACGAGGTTTGATTTGAAGCTCCTTTGATATTTGTCTTAATCTGGTTGAAGAATGAACATCAAGTAGGATATATATTATTAATTTCTTTCGCTAATTTGACTGAGGTATTATGTATTGGTCACAGATGGTGGATGTGTATTTGAATTGCCGATTTGGTGTGGACTGTGAATGAGAGACCATGGTTGCAACTGCAAATTGCAATAGGATTTTTTTTTTATTTTCTTTTTTTGGTTTTTTATTGCAATAGGATTTTGGATTTTACAAAAAGTTATTGTAACTGTCTTACCCATGTTAGTGAAGGACTTGAATTGTCCAATTGATTGGCACAAGTTATTATCCTATTGTTTATGTTGTATTTTTGTGTGTTTATTATATCTGCAGCTTCTTTTTCTTAAATATATTTATTGGTATTTGTCTTTTCTTTTTGTTAGAATTTGTATGTACTTTTTGTAATCAGTACTGCAAATAAATTTATTTATATAATATTCTATCATTTTGTGATCAGATTTGTAGACAAGTTATGAAGGGAAAACGCAAATTCAAATCCGGAAGTTCGAAAAGAAAAAAGAAAAAAAAAAGAGAAATTAACAAAACTCTTGCCGGATCGATGGATAGGTAAGTAAAACCTACAGCTCCTGTAGTAGAAGTGGAAGTGTTTGGTCCTATTGAAATTGTGCCGGAATTATGGGTTACTCTTGAAAAAATTGCCTGGGGACTCCAAATTTCTGGAGACGGCCCTGGTTGGGACGCAAATATGCGTCCAACCGAGGAGACAGAGACAGAGAGATAGAGAGAGAATATTGTATTTTGCGATTGGTTTTGGGGACCTATTGGAGCAACTCGTACTGCAAATTAGTATGTAACCCGTGCGAAGCACGAGCTGTATTTATTTTGGGGAATATTATAAATTGAAGTGCATTAATAAACAAAATAATGAGAATTTGTAGGAAAATTTTCAAATAATAAAATACTTCTCCTGAAAAAATAATATATTATTAAAAACATCACTGCACACAACATTATTATTTTAATAACTGAACAACTCGTCATCCCTAAATACGAATATTTTCAACCATTTCATTAAAAGATATAATTGGTCGTGACCAATAATATATTTCGTTAAGAACATGCCAACACACGATAAAAGTTTGTCCCTAACTCTTTTTTATCTATTACATACATGCTAAACAACAATATATAATTTATAATTGGCCATCACTAAAAATTGATTTCTTTAAGAACATGTCAACACACGATAAAGACTGACCCTGACTCTTCTTTATCTATTACTTACACGCGAAACGACAACATATAATTGGCTGTGACTAAAAATTGATTTCTATAAGAACATGTCAATGGATGATAAAAACTGACCCTAACTCCTAAATGGAACCTTAACATCAGAAGGAACTGGTGTCGCTGGAACTTAAATGGAACACTAAGATGAATATATTTATAATATGATAATTTACCTGGTAATTGGACAAATGAGTTGTTAGTTTATCATTTTAGTATCGATTATACTTGGTTAGCCAAAATAATATTCATTAATACTTTTTTTTTTAACTTTTAAAAAAGAACATTAAACATGTATGCTTACAATATTAAAAACACATAAATGTTATATAGCTTATGTAAGGTTATCTAAAATATTCTTTATTATTCTTAAAAAACATGAGGTCACATAAAATTTTTTCTAAATTATTTTGTTAATAAAGCATGTCTAAAAAATGTTTAACACACACATGTTTAAAATATGCAACATGTTTAAAATATACAATATATTACATGTGAATAATATGTATTAAAGTCAAAAATAATATTAGTTATTATATAGTAGATATATTAGACATTACATGTGAAAGAGATTTATATATAGTAGATATAAAATATAAAAACATTAGTAATTAGACATATTTCATGCTAATTTTTTTAAGCCGAACAATTTTTAATTGGACAACTGCCCTATTATATGTATGAAAATTTTTTATATAGTAGACTTACATATATAGATATATATTTTGCATAGCAGATTTATATTTTGTCTATACAAAAAAAAAAAAATCAATTTACTATACAAAATTTTAAAAATTTTCTTTTGAAATACACATATATAACTAATTAATTTATAGTTTATGACTTATTTAGAAAATAAATTGGTTTGAATATAATGAGTGTCCCCAACCCAATCAATAACATCCAACACATGATATATGATAAAATTAGTTATATGAATCGTCGTGCATTTAAATATATATATAAATTAAGTTGGCATGACTTTTCAGAAATATTTCAAAAAAATTCAAATTTTTTATTTGTTAAATGATTGACCAGATTTTTTTAACCAAATTTACACTTTAACCGGAGAAATTTAAGGAAATAATTTATTGAATTTTTTGGAAGCAAGATTTTCAATATTATTTCTCATTATTGGCCAGATTTACCCATATCATTTAAGAAAACCATTGCTCATATTTTTATAATTTAAAGTTTATACAATATATTTCTCAAATAATTTTTTTTTTTTAAATTTGAATTTGAATTTTCATTCAGCCGTTATTTTTTTAAAGCAAGATTTTCAAGATTATTTCTCATTATTTGCCAGATTTACCCATAACATTTAAGAAAACCATTGCTCATATTTCTATGAATTAAGATTTACACAATATCTTTCTTAAATATTTTTTTTATTTGAATTGAATTTTCATTCAGCCATCATTTTTCAAAATAAATTACTAAGAATAGTAACTTTGAAAATTTTAAGCAGCAATTTTAATACTATTTCAAGTTAATCACTCTCTCTATTATATAGTAATAGATGGGAAGTACATCAGAAAATTAACTCGATTTTTAGCGATAATGAAAAAATCACAAATCCCGATAACTTAAAATTGTATATATTGAAAATTTATCAAGATTGATTTGCAAAAGTTTTATTGGAAGCGTATCACCATTATCCATTGATAGAGAGTGACTAAAATCCCGTCCAATATTCTTATATTTGTTAACAAAATATCAGTTTTAATATAGATGCATGGCTTTTTTTTTTAACAAAAATAGTGGTTTACTAACTTGAAATTAATTCACAAAAGATTATAAAAATTGTTACTACCAATACACCTGTTTTTTTCTTAAAAAAAAAAAATAGAACCAAATTTATGCAATATCAATTTATTTGCATTTAATAAACCAAAATACCGGTAAGTTTAGTTAAAAAAATAGAGAAAAGGAATTCACAATTTTTTGGGAGGAATATTTTTGAAAAGATCGAACCTGATTTAGGTAAGAAATAGGAAAAAAAAAATCTGAAAGAAATATCAATTTTATAAAAAAACTACAAAAGTTATCCCGAAAGAACCCAACAAACGAAGCGAAGTGAAGTCATAAATTTCTGAATTTACTTAAGAAGCAGTAAAAAATATACAACTCAATTTTGAAAGATTGCACAATTTTTAAATTGATTTGATAAAAGAATCAAAATCTAATGATTTGGATGAGGCATAAATGATATACATATTTTGGATAGGAATTTGATTTGTGTAATCCATTCAAATATCAAATTTTTTAAAATCAATTTGGCACGTGTCAATTCGGACGGGAAGCAGTGGAGATGCACGGCCATGTACATGCCGGTATTATATTATTCCATAGATTTTGCCAACATATTAGCAAATTGAAATTGTAACAGATTATTCCTAAAATTCTGGATGTATCAATATCAATTTATTCCATATTAACAGTCTAACGAAATCAATTTAAATATATTCTTTACCCTAAAATTAGGGAATTATTGTGCCATATTAACAATAAAATATCTTTGCCGGTGCATAAAAATTGGAAACATCAATTGGGAGGTTTTTAAAATGATTTAAACTCAAAAGAAAATTAAGAGAAAGAAAAATCATTTTCGGATTTTTTACATGGTTTCCACAAATGGGAAGTCAATGCATTTATTGACCAGTTTTTTAAAAGTTTCCACAAATGATAGTATTCACCTCTCTTTTTCAATATATATAGATTTTGCGTTTTGCAGTACGGGTGGAGAAGGTTTTACATCTCATGATTGGGGCAAAGAATTATGTTATTTTATGCGGTTTCTTCATTATGGCTCGAAAATTAGTCGATAATACTAAAAACTTTCTCTACTGTTAAATCCCCCTTATATATGATTCCTTGAATATGTTGAGCCTAAGTGGTAGGCTCCCATGTTTCGGGATCCCATGTGACGAAATTCCATGTTTCATTTTTTGGCTTGGATAAATTTTAATTTACTTTTAATCTAAAAATAATTAGGTCCGGATTATCTATAATTATTGTAATTATATATAGTCATTGTAGATGTATTAATTGCATTATAATATAATTTCATGTTATAATCATTAAATTTTAAATGTATTTTAAAAGTTAATAATTTTGTATATTTTATCGGTTCAACATATATAATATATCAAAATTAATCATCTTTTGATAAACTT